TTTTTTTTTTTTTTTTTTTTTTTTTTTTTTTTTTTTATCCTTCTCTTTATCTCTTATATAATATGTAGTCTTTTATATATATATATATATATTTTTATTTTGTATGTTATCACTATATTCTCTTTTACTATATTAGTAATTTTTCTTCTTTTTTAATTTATAATATTTTCCAATTATAGTCAAATTTTCTTGTAATATTATTATTTCGTTAAAACATTAAAAAAAAAAAAAAAAAACTTAGTATATAAAGAAAAACTAAAGTGCATATGTATGTAATATATATAAATATATTAAATGAATATTTAAAATACACATATACTCTATAAAATAGAGTTAAAATAAATATGAATATGTCAGGTAAAACAAAAAAAAAAATTAAACTTATAGGGATAAAAGGAAAAAAAGAGAAATTATTATATAAACAAATATAAAATTAAATTGTATTTTATTATTATAAATATTATGCATGTTAAAGTAATGATATTTCTAAAATAATAAAAATAATTGTGTTTTAAAATTGTTGAATGATAATAATTCAAGTGTAATTAGGTTTCTATTAATTAATTTAACTATGAATTACAAAAATAAAAGGTAAACATAAAACAAATTTTTTTAGAATAAAAAAAAAACAAAAACGAAAATATAATAGATATAGAACAAGAAATATAATGAAATAACAAAGTGAAATATTTTTTATAGAAGTCCTTTTTTTTTTTATGATGTAATTTTTATTTTTAGCGTACAAAAAAAAAAAAAAAAAAAAAAAAAAAAATTTTTTTTTTTTTTTTTTTTTTTTTTTTTTTTTTTTNNAAAAAAAAACAAAAACGAAAATATAATAGATATAGAACAAGAAATATAATGAAATAACAAAGTGAAATATTTTTTATAGAAGTCCTTTTTTTTTTTATGATGTAATTTTTATTTTTAGCGTACAAAAAAAAAAAAAAAAAAAAAAAAAAAAAAAGAAATTTTCGACTTATATATATTAATTATCTTAATTATAAATTATTTTGACATATTTAATTATTCTTTTATAATTTCTTTTTATTATTTATGTAAAAGTTCATTATAAAATAAAGCATTTTAAGATTTATTTAAAGTATTATTTTAAATTTATTTAATAAATTTTTTAATATATAAATAAAATATTAATTATATAATTATTTTATATTGTTACATCTAAATTCTAACAAACAAAATAAAAAAAGATAGACCTTATTAGAATTGTGTGCATAAAATATATATTTGTATACATGTAATTTTTATTATATGTCACTATTAATTTTACATTAAAAAGAAAACATAATTGTAGAACATCTCATTATTATTTTTTATACGAATATAAATAATTATTTAGATAAAAAAAAAAACAAATTATATATATATATATATATATGGTTGGATATAAGATGGAATATAAAAAAAAATTATAAATATCTTTATTATTGCAATTTTCTAAAAAAGTGGATTTATATATTTAAATTTGATAAAAATATATATTTGAGATCAATTTTATTTCTCTTTTTAATTTTTTTATTCACTAAATTTAGTTTATATGTGTTATATTTTCTATAGCTTCATATTTAAAAGTTTAATTAGCGGATATCTATATATTTTCTGATTTCATAACCTTACTATTTTAAAAAACATTTATCATATTAGAATTATATAGAAATCAAGAACATAGTAGTATTGTATAAATTAAAATTTTAAGAAATATAATTATTTAAAATAGTCAATATTCTTACATTCTATTTCACTTTAGTGTAAGAAATGCATATACATATATAAAAAAAAAAAAAAAAAAGAAATTAATTCGTACTGTTAACACAAAAATGTAAAAAATTTAAAAAATTATTAGTGAAGGTGTATTTTAAAACGTTTTCCTAAAAATAATATAAAAAATATAGAATATAGGTTAGCAATAATATTATATAAAAATGGTCATAAAAAAAAAAATTTAATGAAATTATAAAAATGTTTTGTCACTCTAAAATATGATTAAAATTTTTATTTATATTTGGAGTAATTACTAATGTTTTTAAATAATTTTTCTTTATAATTTTATTTCTATATCTATTCTAAAAGCAGGTTAATATTTAAAAATATTGATTTTTTATAAGTAACTCACAAATATAAGAATATATCATAAAATACCCTTTTTTTTTTATTGACTCATTTTATAATATAAAGTAAAAAAATTTGTTTTCTTTTCCAATACAAAATTAAATATTTCAAACGTTTTTTAAATTTTTTTTTTATATTTTAGAATTATTTTAATTAAAAAATATAAGTAAAAAATTAAAATATAAAAAAAAAATATATATAAAAAAAATTGATATAAAAAAATAATAGCCTATATAAATTTATAAATTTTATATTTACAATCATTTATTGTACACTTTTTTTTTTTTTTTCTTTTTTTGTATATAATAAAGATTAAAAACTGGTCTTTTTATAACTTTATATAATTATCTACTTCTTATAAATATAAAATAAAAAGTTTTACAAGTTATTGAATTTTTAAAATAAAACAAACTGTTTTTTTGCGCTTCCGAATATTTGATGTTTTTCCACTTTCAATACATTGAATCTTACTGTTTTTGATAATGGTCTAATAAAAAAAAAAAAATATATATATATATATATAAATATATAAATATATATATATATATATAATACTATAATAAAGTTTTACAAAAATATATAATGTAAATACTTTTAAGTATTAAAAAAAAAAAAAAAAAAAACTTCATATAATTATATTAACTTATATATATTAAAAAAATAATTTATTACCTGCATTGTCCAACAGTTACTATATCTCCTTCTTTCACATCAAAACAAGGGGAGCAGTGACATGGAATATTTTTGTGTCTTTTTTCAAATCTATTATATTTTTTTACATAATGTAAATAATTTCTTCTAATAATTATTGTTCTTTTCATCTTATTTGAAACTACCATACCTCTGTAAAATGAGAATATACATATATATATCATAAATATTTTTTATTAATAGATATTAATAAAATTATTTTGTTATTATATTTATTTTTTACTTTAATATTCTTCCTCTAATTGATACATTCCCTGTAAATGGACATTTTTTATCAACATAAACTCCTTCTTTTGCTTCTTTAGGGGTAGCAAAGCCTAACCCTATTTTTTTCCAATATCTTGTGTAACTTTTTGATCCCTTTTTTATTTTTTTGGAATTAAAAAAGCATGCTCCTTCTTGTTTCTGATATGCTTTTTCATGCTATAAAATATAAAATAAAAAATACAAAATAAAAATATATATATTTATATAAAATTTTTTTATATTATTATAAACATTTCAGTTATTTAAATATTTCTTTTTTTTAAAATATTTAATAATGTATATTTTATTTATATAAAGTTCATATATATATATTTATTTTTTTTTTTTTTTTTTTCTTTTATATATATTTTGTTATTTCTATTTATTTTTATTACTTGAACATCTAATGTTGTTGCCATTTCCAATATAATGAATATTTATATTTTTTGTTAAAATATTTTTTTTTTTTTCAAATTTTCTTTAAACAAAATAATTAAATTGAAAAGAAAATTTTCTCTATAATCCTTATGATTACATTAAATGTAAAATATTATTTTTATTAATTTTTCCAATTTTTAATTTAAAAAAAAAAAAAAAAAAAAAAATATCATTAGAACTTTTTTAAAAATTTTTTTTTTAATTTGCACTATATTTTTACATATTAAAATACTCTATATAATTCTTTAATTTTAAAGGAATTAAAAATAAAAAAAATTATATAAAATAATTACACTATTTTTAATAAAAAAAAAAAAAAAAATATATATATATATATATATGCAAGCAATTTACTAAATTTTCTTAAATATATTTATATTTTATTCTTTTCATAATATAATTGTTAACCCCTTAATCTCCTCTAATATATATGAATGTATGACTATATGAAAAAAAATAAAATACTAAGTATTAAAAAAGAATAATTTAACGTAACTAATGAAAGGAAAAAAAAAAAAAAAATAATAAAAATTATGTTAAAAAAATAAATATTATTTTTATATTTAAAAAATTTAATGTAACTAAAAAAATTTTTTTTTTTTCTCCCTATTATTTATTATAAATTAAAATTATTTAACATAAGCACATTTTAATTTGTAGAAAAGAAAAATTGAAAATTCAAAAAGCTTAGTATTTTGTTTTTTAATTTTTTTAAATAAAAAAAAATTTGCTTAAGGATTATTGTTAGAAATAATAAAATTATTACCCACTTATATAATTTTACATTTTTTTTTTTTAAGAGGTTCTAAGAATATAAAATAATAATTTTTTTATTTTCATTTAATTGATTTAATGTAATATCTCCTAATCTTCAATTTTAGTCATTTTTATTTTAGGAAAGGATTATATTTTTTATTTTTTTTTTTTTTTCATTTTTCTTTTTATTAGACACAAAAATAGTAGTTTAATTCTAGATTTATATATAAATAATTTTTTATGCATTATAAGATTAAATTTATATATTTATTAAATTATTTTGTTACAGTTAATTATGCCATCTTTTTATAGAAAATGAAAAAATGAAAAAAAATTATAATTATTACTTTACAAAATAAACCAAACAACTAAATATTAATTTACTTTTTAATTATATTATTTATTTCCTTCATATAAATTATTTAGTAAATGATAAAACGAAAAAAAAAAAAAAAAAAAAAAAAAAAAAGTAATTTTTCGTATAATTTATAAGAAAAAATGTAAATAGTCTTTTATATATAAAATTTAAATTTTCATTAAGCCTTATATGCCATTTGTATTAAGAAACATAATCATATATAAATATATGAATACCTCTTTTTTTGCTTATTCTTTTTAGATATTTTTATTTATCCTTTTCTTAAGTAAAATACAGCATTAATTATATTGTATGTTTTTCTTTTTAATTTCTATTAATATAACTTGTTCAAATTTTAAAATAGTTATTTAAATAATAAATTTTTTGTGTTTATGTAAAAATAAGAAATATGGAACAAAATTTTAATACTATGTGTTAGAATAAAAAAAAAAAAAAAAAAAAAAAAAAAAAAGAAAAAAAAAAAATATTGCATTCTTTAAAAAAATAAAAAAATTACAATTTTTTTAAAAATATTGGTCTT